TGAATTCCTGAGTTCAAACCCCAGCACAAATAATATGTGTGTGTGTGTGTGTATTCATATATATTCTTTTTTTTTTTTTGACAGTCCTGGGGCTTGAACTCATGGCCTGGACACTGTTCTTGTGCTTCTTTTGTTCAAGGCACTCTACCACTTGAGCCACAGCACCACCTCCAGCTTTTTTTGTGTATGTGGTACTGAGGAATCGAACCCAGGGAGGACTTCATGCAAGGTAAGCAAGCACTCTATCACTAAGCCACATTCCCAGCCCCTCACATATGTTCTTTTTGTTTTGTCTTGTCTTGTTTTTGGTTGTAGGGCTTGAACTCTGGGCCTGGGGGCTATCTCTCAGCTCTTTAGCTCTTCAGCGAGCACTCTACCACTTCAGCCACAGCACCACTTCCGGTTTTCTGAGTGGTTTATTGAAGATAGTCTCATGGAGTTTCCTGCTCAGGCTGACTTTGAACCTCGATCCTCAGATCTCAGCCTCCTGAGTAGCTAGGATTACAGGCATGAGCCACCAACACCCAGCTCACATATATTCTTATACATTCAAAGTACATGATATATTTGCATATATTCTTATATATATGAAAATATATATGTGACTATATATTCCTTTCTACCTAGCGAGGAAATATATTCACTGAAGAGATTTATTTAGTTTTTTCCAATCCTAGGCCTTGAACTCAGGGCCTGGGCACTGTCCCTGAGCCTTTCTGTGCTCAAGGCTACCACTCTACCACTTAAGCCACAGCACCACTTCCAGTTTTCTACTGGTTTATTGGAGATAAGAGTCTCACAGATTTTCCTGCCTGGGCTGGCTTTGAACTGTGATCCTCAGATCTCAGCCTCCTGAGTAGCTACGATTACAGGCATGAGCCACTGGTGCCTGACCTCACATATATTCTTATACATATGAGGTATATGAATATATTCATATATTCTTATATACATGAAATATATGTGAATATATATATATATATATATATATATATTCCTTTCTGCCTAGCAAAGAAATATACTCACTGAAGAGATTTTTGAAACATCTAAATACAGAAAAAGGAAAATTTCCATATCCCACCATCTAAAAATAATTAACATTAACATGTTGGTCTTCTCTCCAAAAATTCCTCTTTTTTTTTTTTATTAGATGTGAGTCACTGGCCTTTGGATTTTTTTTTTTTTTTTTTTTTTGGAGACAGGGACCAGCTTTGTAGCTCAGACTACTCGTGAGTTCTCAAGCTCCATTCCTTAGCCTCCCATGTTCTGGACTGCAGGTGTGTAACCACTATGAGTAGATACCTTTCTTGCTGAATTTTAATTTCTTACTGAGTATCTCAATTGCTTTTGCATTTTGTTTAAACTGGTTTCTAACAAAGATACATTATCTAGTCGTATATATTCATCTTTGCTTTTCTTTCTTTCTTCCTTTCTTTCTTTCTTTCTTTCTTTCTTTCTTTCTTTCTTTCTTTCTTTCTTTCTTTCTTTCTTTCTTTCTTTCTTTCTTTCTTTCTTTCCTTTCTCTTTTTTTTTTGTCAGTTGTGAGGCTTGAACTCAGAGCCTGGGCTCTGTCCCTGTGCTTTTTGCTCAAGTCTAGTGCTCTACCACTTTAAGCCACAGCACCACTTCCGGCTTTCTGGTGGCTAATTGGAGATAAGAATTTCATGGACCTTTCTGGCCAGGCTGGCTTCATTTGAACTGTGATCCTCAAATCTCAGCCTCCTAAGTAGCTAGGATCACAGGCATAAGCCACCAGCACCCAGTTTATATTCATCTTTTATTTTTTAGTTTATAACTGTGACAGTACCTTTAGAACATCCTTTCTCACCCTAAGATTATGTAAACATGTATTGTTCTACATTCCTCCTCTATCCATCTAAAATTTATGCATATATGTAGCATTAATTAGTTAAGGATCTAACTTGATTTTTTTCCCATGTGGTTGCCTGGTTGTCCCCAGCTACTAACATGATAATTTATCAATTTCCCATTGTTTCAAAATACTGTTTTCCTAAACACTAAATGATTGCATACATTGAGGACCATTATTCTGGAATTTTAGTTTTTGGTGCACCAATCTTGATGTGTGAAACACATCTTTTCTGGTGTTTTCTTGATTATATGCAGTATTTTAGACTTTTTAAAAATAAAATCTAGGGGCTGGGAAGGTGGCTCAGTGGTAGAGCGCTTGCCTTGCATGCCTGAGGCCCTGGGTTCGATTCCTCCACATAAGCAAAAAAAGAAAAAAGCTGGAAGTGGCGCTGTGGCTCAAGTGGTAGAGCGCTAGCCTTGAGCTGAAGGGCTGAGGGACAGCGCCCAGGCCCAGAGTTCAGGCCCCACAACCAGACCCCCCCAAAAAATAATAATAAAATAAAATAAAATAAAATCTAGTCAAGAGGCAGGTGGCTTATGCCCATAATCCTGAGGTCTGTGGTCAAGGCCAGCCAGAACAGTCCATGAGACTCATCGCCAGTCAGTCAACAAAGAGCCAGAAGTGAAGCTGTGGCTCAAGGGCTACAGCAAAAGAGCTAAGGATGAGTGCTCAGATCCTCAGCTCCAGCCCCGACCAGCACCTTCCTCACACGTCGGTCAAATGTATTTGCAACTTGATCTAAAGTGTTAAGCACTAAACAAAGAGCTTGGCATATGCTATCTCTCTTTAACTTTCATAGCAATTTTATGAAATAAATAATCTTCCCTTTACATGATAGATAAAGAAACTCATGTTTCTAGAGCTTAAATCACTCCCAGGTCTGAACATGGTCTACCACAGATCGAGAGTGGGTTTCTGGGGTGTGATGTTATAACTGAGCCTTGTGAGCTTAGGGCTGAGAATGCACTTCCTGCTGTCTCCACATGCTGGCAGCATGCAGCTAAAGTCCAGGGACTGTCATAGCCAGGGGCCACCCACTCAAGGAGCCTCACAGTGCCACTGCAGGGCCAGCCTTTGCATTCATGCTTTACAAAGCAGGAGGCAACAGTCCTTGCAAACTCTAGATTTAGAATTAAGCAGCTTCTGCCACACACTAAACTATAGAGTAGTCCTAAGAAATATAGGGTAGTCCATTTACAGTTTTTGCCACAGTCTTACCAGAATATGGCTAGGTACTGAATTCATTTGTATCACTTCTGAGTCTTCAACTCAAAAACTGTTCTATTGGATCAACAATTTCTGCTTTGGTTCTACGTGTTCTCTTGCTTGTCTTATAACATTACTGTCTGAGTTCCTATGATCCGGTTATGCTTATCTGTCCCTGAAGGAGTTGCGAATTTATCCTTCAATAGTGCTGTTTTTGAGTCTCTGCATTGTAGTTAGGCTTATCTCTCCCTGAAGGAGTCTGAATTTCCAAAATTTACTTTAGAATCTTTTTCAAAAACTAGATTCATCAGGAGGTTGAGATCTGAGGATCATTGTTCAAAGCCAGATGGTCAAGAAAGTCCATGAGACTTTTATCTCCAATTAACCATTAAAAAGCTGGAAGTGGAACTTTGGTTCAAAGGGCAGAGTGCTAGCCTTGAGCATAAAAAGCTAAGGGACAGTGCCCAGGCCCTGAGTTCAAGTCCCAGTACAGGCACGTGCGCGCACACACACACACACACACACACACAAAGATTCCTCATTTAGCTCCTTTCAGGCTTTCTATCTCCTAGTCAACCACCTTCATGTTTGGGAGTACTCGTCATTTTCTTTTATGTGTTGTGTCATAGAGAATTTTTTTTAACATAGACAAGATTCTGTGGAGAAAAATCAAAAGAGCTAACAAGCACATGTATCCAGGAACTAGAGATGACCCTCATTTACATTTTCTCATACTCATTTTGCTGGCTCAAGTCAACCAACTCCAGACCTTAATCCTGGCATTCCCAAACCCTTTCCTATGCTTCACTTCCCATTCCCCCACAGACTTATGACTTCCTAGCATAATATAAATTATCCTTATGTTTTATATCCATTTCCCTACCTCTGGTATATAAGGTCCACCTGGGCAGGATCTTTATTTTGTTCACTGGTGATTCTCAAGTACCTAGAACACTGCCTGGAACATAGTAGACAGTAAGTATTTGTTAAATGAAAAAAAAAAAAAAGAAGGCGCATTATGCACTTGACAGATCTATTCATGTCGATATACAGACTAAGTCCATTCCTTTTAACATCTACATAGTACTCCTTTACTCACAAGCAATAAACATAGCTACTGTTCATTAAGTGCTTATGTTGTGCCAAGCACTGTTTGAATGGCTTTACATTTCCTAGGTGATAAGCACTATTATTAAGCTGTCTATTAAGCACAGACCAGTGAGTGATACAGCTGGATTAAAGCCTTTCTGGCCCCACCACACTAAGCCACTAGATTTGAGTACTATAAATAGGTAAAGGTATTTCTGCCTTTCTCTAGTGGTGCTTAGGTTGCCCGTAAGTTTTCCTGTTATGAGTAAGTTCCAGTGGTTACACATGCACAAGTGGGCAGTTCTGGGTGTCTATCACAAATAAGGGCCCTATGGCGACCTTTTTGCCTTCTTTCTTTCAGAAAGGCTTCCTCTGACAGAACACAGTTTCCATGAGAGGAGTTTGCCTTTTATGTCCTGTGTTCTAGTCTAACCACCTATAACCATGCCAGACATGTAGAAGGTTAGTAAATATTTGTCAAACATACCAATGGCTCTTAAATACAATCTCTACTCACAATTACACAAATTATGTTTATGGGATCCCAAACTGTGTGAGGAGAATGTCTCATTTGTTATGAGAATTTTAAGCAAATTTCAGTTTTATCCCCCCCAGAGAGTCTAGAAGTGAGAATTCTCTTTGGATCCCAGCCCTTCATCTGGATTCTACTGGAATCAACTGGAAGTAGTAAACTCAGCAGCGTGAAGGCTGGAGAACCTGGCTCCTGCCCGATGTGGGCAGCCTCCTCTAAGTCCTGGTATTGCCAACCGCCACACTTGGGTGACCCCTGCCCTGGCAGAAACAGCCTCTCGAGTGTGGCCAAACCATTTTTAGCTGTCCTTTCACAACATGTCACAGGTCAATCACAGATAACACAAGAGTGGCCATCCAGGAAAATGGCCACTTTGGGCACTTTTGTAACTAGTTTATAGGGGATCATAGCTGTATCTTTGATCCTAGGGCTTGGGGTTTTTGTTTTATTTTGGTTTGTTTTTGATGGTATTGTTCTTTTTAGTACAAATACAAAGTAAAGGAGCTAGGACAACAATTTCACATTTAAAAAAAAACACCAGGAATAGTTTTCTCTGCAATGAATTGGCTGTACTGTATTTTTTGTTGTTGTTGTTGGTCATGGGGCTTGAACTCTGGGCTTGGGCGCTGTCCCTGCGCTCTTCAGCTCAAGGCGAGTACTCTACTGCTTGAGCCACAGTGCAACTTCCAGTTTTCTAGTAGTTTATTGGAGATAAGAGTCTCACGGACTTTTCTGCCCGGGCTGGCTTTGAACTGTGATCCTCATATCTCAGCCTCCTCAGTAGCTAGGATTACAGGCATGAGGCACCAGCGACTGGCTTGTACTGTACTTTTAAAAATGCTTGTCTAATTCATTCTTTTACATTACTGTTCATCTCCATAACCTCCTTTTTTTTTTTTTTAAATTTTGCAAGTCCTAGAGCTTGAACTCAGGGCCTGGGTTCTGTCTCTGAACTTCTTTTCCTTTCTTTTTTTTTTTTTTTGTCCAGTCATGGGGCCTGAACTCTGGGCCTGGGCGTTGTCCCTCAGCTCTTCAGCTCAAGGCTAGCGCTCTACCACTTGAGCCACAGCACCACTTCCAGCTTTTTTTCTTTTGCTTATGTGGTGCTGAGGAATCGAACCCAGGGCCTCATACATGCAAGGCAAGCGCTCTACCACTGAGCCACCTTCCCAGCCCTGAACTTCTTTTTCTTAAGGCTAGCACTCTACCCCTTGAACCACAGTGCTATTTCTGGATTTTTCTGTTTATGTGATACTGAGGAATCCAACCCAGGGCTTCATGATGCTAGGCAATTACTCTACCACTAATCCACCTTCACAGCCCTTTTTGCTTGTTGGACCCAGGACCTCACAATTGCAAGGCATATGTATTCTACTGTTTGAGTTCACCTCCAATCCTTTTTTGCATTGGCTGTTTTCAAGACAGGGTCTCAACTTATGTCTGGGCTCGCCTGGACTGCAGTCCTCCCACTTGTGCTTCCCTGTGTCACTAGACATGCCAGATGTGCTCTACTGCACCCAGCCGCTGTGCGTCCCAGAGAGCTGGGAGAACAGGCATATGCTACCAGATCTCACCACCGGTAGAGATAGAGCTTTTGCAAAGATAGAGCTCTGCAAACTTTTATATCTAGCTGGCCTCAAACTTTAACCCCCCCCCTCCAATTCTTACTTCTTTATAAATAAAATTGCTGGCTTAGGTTTTGTTCTTTACTCAAGAAGCCATGCAGATAGCTAAGCTTCCCTGTCTTAGGCAGCATCTAACTTTGCCTTCCATTAGCAACTCCATCCATCAAATTTTAGTGACAGCCTACAATATGCCAGGCCAGAAGCTGAGCACAGTAAATGTTCCTGGTGTCAAAAAACTTATGTCTCATAAAACTTACAGTTTACTTAAACCTATATAGAAAAGACAGCCAAAGAACAGAGCAAAGAATGCTGGAGAGGTGCTACTTTAGATAGCAGAGAAAGCCCCACTGAGATCCTCTTCATCATATCTTTAATACATGTGGGGAAAAAACCACTGAAAACCAACACTTATACCTCAGCAGGATCGCTACTGACTGTGAAAAGTGGATAGAAGAACATCTGTCTGAAAACAACCATTATGGGGTAAAACCACTATGCATCTCATGGAAGCCCCATCTCACAGTCCACATGATGCTGTGACCTAATGTCCTCAGCTATGAACTAGAAATCATCCCCTGGATATTATGAACGTCCAAGAAACCTAGATCTATAAAGAGCCAAATATACAGGGAGCATTCAGTAACTGAGGCTAGCTTTTCCTTCTTCATGTCTCCCTTCCCCTTTCCCAAGTTCTAACCTTCATAAAAAGATAGCCTGCTCCCAAAGACAATACATGATCCGATAGACAGCCTTCCAAAGGAACAATCAGAAATTAGACTAGTTTTTTAAAAATTTTTATTAGTTTTTAATATATGTGGTACCAAGGAATTGAATCCAGGGCCTCATGCATGCTAGGCAAGCACTCTACCACTAAACCATATTCCCACTCCTAATCTTTTTTAGCAAACTATTGTCTCAGTCCCAATGATCCTACTTATCTTTAGATACTTTAAAAAATTAATTTGTTAGGTTCCTCTATACTCCAAATAGTCCTAGAAAGATGCCAGAAGATTTCAATAAAATTGCAAAAAGAGACTTGTTAAGTAATAAATATCCTATCATGTGAGCATAGTTAGATACTTGGGGGTTGGGAAATGAAATATCTCTCAAATGCATCATAATCCGGATAAATATATATATACATATATATATACTTATTTTAAAATATAAATCTCATCTCTTCCCACTGCCCCCCCATTGGTACACACCAACAAAAATAATAAGTTTTTTTGTTATATTTTCTTCATTAGAAGAAACACATCTTATTCAGTGGCAAATAACAAGTAAAATGTAAACTTCCTTACCCAGATATATCAGGTTAACTTAGCTCCCTTAACAGGGCCTCTAAATGTTTTTTAATTACACAACATATTAAACCCACCATCATTTTGTCACTAGCAATACCTCTCCTTCCCCAGCCTCCTTCTTCCTTGTTCATTTCTTCCCCCACTACCTCCTCTCATATCATTCCCACACCTGCAGTACTATCCCCCCCAAGGAACAGGCCTTCCATTCTCCCCACCGCTCCAGGAGCATGGCCATGGCCTGTGTTGTTCATAGCTAGACAACATCCCATGACGTGGCCTCCCAGTAAGTCATTACAAGCCCATGCTGCCCTGTATTTCCTGGTCCTTGTAAAATATGGATAGCATTATAGTCATCACTCATCCCAACCTCCAGAGAGAGGTATGGCCAGGACTCTCATCACGGAGGAGATTTAGGACCTATCTTAGGATATTCATGAAAAATACAAAAACAAAACACCAAACCCAAAAACTTGTAGTTATTTTCTAAGTAGACCAAAATGATTAATGATCTGAGATGTCACCTGCCCTTCTATTCTATTTTGACATACAAAGACTGGAATACTTCAGACTTTCTATTTTGATCATGCTTTTATTTATGAAAGGTGTGGTCTCAATGGTCCAGGTCTGCTGGCTAGGAGCGCTGCAGGACAGAGTATGTTTTGGGTTTGAGTTATGTACTAGTTATCTAACTAACTGGTCCCCTGTGCTTAGTGCTTCTGCATTTCACTATGTATAATGTGTGCTTTTCTTCCTATCTGTTCACCATTGTATCATCCTTTCACATGCAAAGAAAGCTCTAGTATTAAGAAACAAGGAAATAGTGTCTCTCTTGATAAGAAATTCCACGTTACCAGAGATGTGGATAAGACAGGACAGCTGCCAGCAAGCATCCTTTGCACCTAACTGAATACATGTTTCAAGGCTTTGGTGATGGTCCCAAAAGGAAGTAGAGCATTGCAAAGGAGATACTAGAGCCTGGCAACCGCACTTGGCTTTGATCCATAAGTGAAATTCAAAAGCATTTCAGCAAACTGACATAATCATGAACACTTTTAATTTTGAAAAGGAGAAGTTTTTTAAGACTATCCTCTAGTGCTTTCAATGAAAAGGACATTTTAGTGGTATACCTATACAATGGACTACTTTATTCAGACATAAAATAATGAAGTTCTCATATACATCACAACACAGATGAACCTTGAAGATAATTGTGCTAGGCCAGATAAGCCAGTCATAGGAAATAGAGGTATAGCTCAACTGGTAGAATGCTAGCCTTGAGCAACAACAACAAAGCCAAAGGAGAGCTCTAGCTCTGGGTTCAAGCCCTGATACTAGCACAGATAAAGAAATAAAGTAGTCACAAAGGACAAGTAAAGGATGACCCACTTACAGGAAGTACTGAGAATAGGCAAAGACATCAAGTTTCTGGGAAGCTGCCCGGAGTGAAAGAGACATACAGCATTACTGATTAGTGGGCACAGAGCATGTGTCTGATTTTTTAAAAAGTTTGAAATATAGGGCAGTGATGGCTGCATATCAGAATATAATTGATGCCACTGAACTGTATATTTTAAAGGTGGTGAAATGGGCTGGAGATGTGGTTCAAGTGGTACAATGATTGTCTTCATAAAAGGATAAAATGACAGGAAGTGGAGCTGTGGCTCAAGTGGTAGAGTGCTCGCCTTGAGCTGAAGAGCTGAGGGACAGCACCCAGGCCCAGAGTTCAAGCCCCACGACCGACAAAAAAATAAGGGTAAAATGACAATGGCAAAATGACATTTGGAGACACATACACATGCATACGTGCATGTGCGTGTGTGCGGGCGCACATGCGCGCCCGTGCACACACACACACATACACACACACACACACCTGTGTATTGGAAAGTACTGAGCTCTTCCATGGGTCTTTCACTGATGAAGGGACTGGTACAGATCCGGGTCAGTTTGTCAGCTTCTGTATATAGTTCTGGACCCTATACTGCGAGTGAAAGGGTCTTGAGAGATTCTTCTCTCTCCTCTTCTGTCCAGCATTTTGTTTCTTTCTTCCTTTTTAAAATTTCTGTGCCAGTCCTGGGGCTTCACCTAAGGGCCTTGAGTCTCACTGTCCCTGAGCTGCCATTGCTCAAGGCTAGCACTCTACCACTGAGCCACAGCCCCACTGCAGACTTTTTCTGAGTAGTTTATTGGAGATAAGAGTCTCACAGACTTTCCTGCCTGGGTTGGCTTTGAACCACAACCCTCAGATAGCTTCCTGAGTAGCTAGGATCACAGGTATGAGCCATTAGCACTTGGCCGTTCTGTACTTTTAAGCCTACTCATGAAGTTCTGACTAAGAGGCATAGCACCTGGCTTCTATCCAGCGTTTAACGTTCTCCCTAATCTGGCCCTGTGCTTCCCCAGGCAGAACACTCGCTGCTACAACCCCTCCCCTTCATAAAGCCAGCAGAACATGCAGCTCTTCTTTCCCACCTTCCC